CTTTCCCTAAAAGTGCAGGGGAGCGCCATTGCGCTCCCCCTGTAAATAAAAATAAAATTCTAACTCACTCCCCTCATTTTTAGTGCTTTCTTCCAAGAAAAGGCCAGTATGAATACAGTGAAACTTAAGCAAAACAAACTTGCTCTGTCTCCTTCCAGAGAGGAGGTCCTGAAGTTCCCATACCTGCAGTGCTGCAAAGATCAACATTTCTTCCTCTGTGCAGTCAATTTCTTCTAAGACAATGGCCCACCTGGCTTGTTCGTAGAGCTGGTTTATTCGGACAGCATCATACTAGAGAAAGACAGAGATATATGTGTGGGGGTGGTGGTGGTGGTGGTGGTGTAGGGGGCACAATACAAAATTCTGGAATGGCAGGCCGTTCCTTGTTAGACAGATACACTGAACTTTAGTTCAGGTAACTAAAAGGGACACACTGCCCCGGCTCTTTTTATTTCTGAATTTAGAACTTTCTCAAAATATTTCCCAGGTTTCTTCAAGGGGCCCAACTAACCCATCTTAGATTCCATTACTTCACATTCTTATTGGCATGAAAAGCAGATAGTAAAATTGGTTTTTGTGGTAACCAATAAAAGGAGGAGGGATTGCTGATCTGCAAACTCAGTGCAATCCTAATCAGAACCTGATAGGAATTTTTATTTTATTTCATTTTGTTGACTTTTAGAGAGAGAGGAAGGGAGAGGGAGAGAGATAAATGTCAATGTCAGAGCATAAGATTGATTACTGCCTCCTGCATATCCCTCACTGGAATCAAGCCCAAACCCGGCGTGTGCCCTGACCAGAAATTGAACCATGCACAGGATGGGATGATGCCCAACCATCTTAGCCACATTAGCCAGGGCTGATAGGGATTTTTAAATAAAACTTTATACAAGCTAATTTTTAAGTTAAGCTGGAAAAAACAATCCTATATAATACAGAGATGTGGACGGCAGAAAGACCTTCTGGAACGACCAGTGGGCGAGGCAGCCAATGCTGCGCGGGCTGAGCCCCTCACACGAATTTTGAATATCATGAGGAACATTTTGAAAAAGAACAATATTGGGAAGACACCTGTCCTCCCAGACATTAAAACATATTATAAAGCTGCAGCAACTAAAATGGTGTGGTATTAGTATAGTGATGGACAGAATGTCAATAACACAGTATCTAGAAACAGACCTATATATGCAGATAAGTTTAATATAAAATAAAAATGGCATTTTATAGCAGCAGGGGAAGAAAGAATTCAAGACTAGAGTGTTAACAATGCCTTGACATTTGGAAAATAAAAATCCAAAATAAAAAAAAATCTCTCATCATCCAAAAAATATTAATTACAGATAGACAATGAGATACCATTTCACACTCACTAGGCTCTAATGCAAAAGACAGATCATAACAAATGTTACTGAGGATGTGGAGAAATTGGAACCCTTATTCATTGCTGGTGGGACTATGGTTCAGCCTCTATGGAAAACAGTTTGGTAGCTCCTCAAAAAGTTAAACATAGAGTATGATCCAGCAATTCCACTTGTAAGTATATAGCGAAAAAAAAAAAAAAGGAAAAGAGGGACTCAAACAGATACGTGGACACCAGTGCTCATCATAGCATTATTCACAATAGCCAAAAGGCAGAAACAACCCCAATGCCCATAAATGGATGAATAAATAAACAATGCAGTATATACACACAATGGGATATCATCCAGCCTTCAGAAGGAATGAAATTCTCATGCACGTTACAACTATAAGATATTATACTGAGTGAAATAAGCCAGACACAAAAGGACAAATATTGTGTGATTCCACTTCTATGAAGTACCTTCAATAGGCAAATTCATAAAGATAGGAAGTAGAACAGAGGTTACAGGGCTGGAGGAAGGGTAAAATGGGGAGTTATTGTTTAATGGGTACAGAGTTTTTGTATAGGATGATAAAAAATGTTCTGGAAATGGACAATGGTGGTAGCTTCATAACATTATAAATGTACTTAATGCCACTGAATTGTGGACCTAAAAATGATTAAAATGGCCCTAGCTGGTTTGGTTCAGTGGATAGAGCATCGGCCTGCGGACTGAAGGGTCCTAAGTTCGATTCTGGTCAAGGGCACATGACTGGGTTGCGGGTTGATCCCCAGTAGGGGGTGTGCATGAGGCAGCCAATCAATGATTCTCTCTCAGTGTTGATGTTTCTCTCCCGTCCTCTCTAAATATCAATAAAAATATATTTAAAAAAAAGAAAAGATAAGCTATTTACTGGGAGAAAAATCTTTAAAAAACAATTAAAAAATGGTTAAAATGGCAATTGTTATGTATGTTTTACCACAATAAAAAGAAGTAAAAAAAAAATACCAAAAAACAAAACCCAAACCTGTACATGAATGTTCTTAGTAGCATTATTCATAATAACCCCCAAGTAAAATCATTCCAAATGTCCATCAGCTGATGAATAGATAAATAAAATGTGGCACATACATATAATGGGATATTATTTGACAATAAAAAGAAACGAAATACCGGTTCGTGGTACAATATGAATTGACCTTGAAAATATTATGCTAAACGAAAGAAACTAGTCACAAAGGACCACATATTATATAACCCCATTTATATGAAACATCCAGGATAGGCAAATCCATAGGGACAGAAGGAAGACTGACTGATGCTTGCCTAGGGCTGGGAGGTTGGGAGGGAAGGGAGAGCGGCTCCTGGTGGATAATGAGTTTCTTGTTAGAATGGTGAAGGTGTTCTAAAATGAGACAGTGGTGATAGTTGCACAACTCAGTGAATATACTAAAAACCATTCATTCGAACTGAATAAATGGGTGAAATGTATGGTATGTGAATTATATCTCAAACGACTTATAAAGAATCTAAACATAACAACTAAACCTATGAGGAGGAACCATGAAGAGCACACTTTGTAATCTTCGAATGAGGAAGGGCTGTTCGTGGAGAAAATGACTGGGGGGAAGGCTGTGCCACGAGAGGCAGTGGCACTGCTGTGGGTGAGAAAAGGGTCTGCGCGGAACAGGTGGCCGGAGGCAAGCCCGTCGAACACGTGCCCAGCAGTGAGTACGTGGACAGAGCAACGCCAAACACCAAACTGGGCAGGAACAGTGCGATGAACCGCCCTGTGCACTCAGAGAAGCAGTGGCCCAGTTTCTATTTTCTACATTTTGGCCATTTATCTGCTGACTCACAACTGCACGAATGGGCAAACCAGGGCAGGGAGAGGAATCAGTTGCCCAGTAAACTTCAGGTGGGAGACACACACCTCAGATGCGACCTGGCGACTAGCCGGGTCTTTATTTACATAGATGACCCCTCTTTCTCATCGCCACCGTGGGGAGTCTGCTGTGAGCCATCATGGGGTCCTGGTTTATTCATGAAAACCTGCTCTTAACCTACGTCCTGACAACGCCTCCTTTCCAAACGCTAAGCACTCTGGCTCCCTGAACGCTCTCTTCTTGTTCCTGTGAATGGAGAGGGGAGCATGCACCTGCTGGGCACGAAGACCCCCAGAGACTCCCACACAGTCGCGGCAGCTGACTAAGCTCGCTAGAATCTAAAAATGCAAACCAGGGAGCAGAAGGCATTTACTGATCTAACTCTGAAGAGGTAGCAGAAGATTACACACGTTAATCCTAACTTTGACGACTAAATGACTCAGCTGTTCACTTCCATGGATTCATATTTTAAAAAAGAGAGAGAATAGAGAAAGAGGATCTTACTTTGGGATTCAAGTCAAAGAAGGTGTAGTATTTAAATCGTAACAGCAGCTGCTCATCCTCCTGGATGCCCTGTTCCATGAGGGAACGCGAGGAGTCCAGCCAACTAGAAAACAGTCGGATGAGGGACAAAAGTCGATCAGTTTTATACATATATGTTACAGCATTATATGTTTACATGTTATCTGTGTTATATAATATGTTCTATGTAATAAATGCACCATGTAATATATGTTATGTATATTTACATTATATACACACATCTCCTTGAACAAAATCCGAGTAAGTAATGTGACCAAAAACCAGTAAGGGAGAAGACTTGAAACTAGCTTATATCTATATTTTATCTTACAGCTTTCCCAATGCTATGTATGTGTGCGTATATATACTTATATATAATTTATTTAGTTTTTCTTATTGACAATTTAAAGTAACCCAGTGAAGAAGCCAGAGCAGCTTTTATTTTCTCAGTTTTATAGATGTTAAAACAGTCTCAATGACTCTGTTTATGCTTAAGGTCCTGTACCTCATAGTGGAGCCAGAATGAGAATCTGCACTTGCTGACTGCCTGCACAGCCTCTCCCCTACACCGGGTGACTGCCCGCACAGCCTCTCCCCTACACCGGGTGAGTGCCTGCACAGCCTCTCCCCTACACTAGGTCCAACCCCAAACTGGCTCTATCTTATTGTCTAGAACTTTCTATAACTACAACAACATTCTGTATGGCCCTGTCCAATAGAGTAGCCAGTAGCCACATGTGGCTGCTGAAGATTTACATGTGGCTAGTGCCACATTTCCATTTTAATTCAATTCAAATTTAGATGTAAATATTCACATGTGGCTAGTGGCTCCTATACTGGATAGTTTAGTCCTAAGGTTGACAAAACACACACAGTGGGTAATGGTGAGAGCTGGAGGGATGACGATTAAACAGTAACCACCAAACCAGGTGGGCATGAATGCCATCCAGTAACACTGAATGAAAATGGCTTGAACTTCTGTTAAATTAGCCCCCAAGATGCAATCTCCATCCCACAGGCCTTGGTCCAGTGGGAGAGACCAAGCCTCCTAATAAAGGAAGAGAGTGACGCTGGGCAAGCAAAGTATAAGACCAGAACTACAGAGAAGTGACGATCTTGAATGGTGACATCTACGAAGGAGAGAGTGACTGGGCCTTAAAGGATGAGCAGGGCTGCCTGGAGAGCAGGAGGAGGGGAGAGGCCTTGGGTGCACCATTGGGGGGGGGGCGGGGTACACAGTAGGACAGGAAGACAGTGCTGGGCCAGATATCACAGGGAGTGGAATGCTGCCCACAAGCTGACTTTATTTGGTGAACAGTGGGGAGTGAAAAGAGCCAGTGGTCTGAGAAATAGTCTGAGTGTGTCTTCTGAGCCCGCTTGAGGCAAAGCTGGACTTGCTCTAGAACGCCTGCAGAGAGAAGTGGCATTCTACAAGACAGTGCGGGCAGGTGGGCCACCTTGGGTCTCCCCCTGACCCATGGGTTCCAACCCCCTTACGAACTGCTCGACCTCCCATAAAATACACTTTGCACACCGCAGGGGGAGAGAATTCCTATTCGCATACGGTAAACCATTGGGTTTCCCCAACACGTAAGGGACGTCACACTTTATATGTATTGAAATGACCAAAGGCCTTGTTTTTCCCTTTTTGTTGCTATAGTCAGTCCTGACTTTTGCTAGCAGTGTGCAATCCCCAGGCACTCTAATTTAAAAAATAAACAACCTCTCCCCCTCTCGGTGGCATCTCTTACTGCATCAGTGTCAGTTCACAGAGAAGCAACACGGAGCCGCATACTTACCCTGCGTTAAGCTTGGTTTTATCGACCAGAGACCGAGACTGGTACATATCAGCCAGCGCCTCCGGTGACTGCGGCGGTTGGCTGAATGCGAGGATGTTGCAGTTTTGTTCTGTCAAAGGGCTGTCGCTGAACCACGTCATGGTGGCTGACACCGGCGTTCCGTTGACGGGGTCATACGTGGGAGTCATGGTTTTACTGTACAAGCCAGGACTTACTGTAAGGCAAAGGGGAACACACACTAGGATATGAGATTCAGGGAGTGGAAATCTCTGGAGAAGTAAGTACAGATTGCTGACACTGAAACGGATTTTGAATTTAAATAGTTGTAACATTTAAAATAATCAGAGGAGTCATGACTGATGCAGGAGGAGTTACACACGGGTAAAGCTCTTGCCTGCATGTTTAGCTACTGAAACCTTGGGAACCGACAGGCTATAAAAGCTTCCACACTCAACCCACACAAGTGTGGGGGACTATGTCCTTCTCAACAATTCAAAATGCCTCTGCTTTAGCTGTGAGTTTTCACGCTATTGGAGAACCAGAGATCTCACAGAATGTATGTACAGACTATATTTTGGGCAAATTCTTTAAAGAAATAGCAGTACTTGCCAATTTTAAGAACCCAGCTAATTAATGGTTTATATATCACCTGCCTTTACTTTGCATATGAAAAGTGCAAATAATTCCTTTCATTCTTTGCACTGGAATATACTATGCAAGAAAACCCTCAAACGTTGCAAACAAGCTGGCTTTTTATATTCTTATATAACAAGAAGAGAAGGAAGCCTTTCTAGAATTTTTACCTGTTTTCCTGTTACATGTCCAGTGCAAAATTTAAATGGAATTCATACAAGAGTCACAGGAAGATTGAATCAGGAAAACAGAAGTATATTTGAGTGATCCAAATAATCTGTTTCCTCCCTCAAATTCACAGCCAGTTCTATTAAGGTTTCTAATTCATCAGAAACATAATACATGCAGTTAACATAATGAGCTATAAAGCATATCTTGTCAAAAAAAATTCTGTTAGTTCTAAAATTAATTGGATATCCTTTCCTCATCATAGGACTCTTGCAATTTTAGCCCTTCTTTGTTTGGGGGAGAAAGGAGAAGGGAGGGACACGAGGAAAGACAGAGCAGAGGGGAGGAGAGTTCCTAGGATTTAAAAATTGAGGTAACTCTTGCTCTGGCCGGGTTGCTCAGTGGTTAGAGTTGGCTTGAGGACCAAAGGGTCTCAGGTTCAATTCCCGGGGCATGAGTGGGAGGCAACCAATCAATGTGTCTCTCTCCCATCGATGTTTCTCTCTCACTCTGTTTCTTTCTCTCTTTTCCTCTTTCCCTCCCTCTTTCCTCCGTCCCTTCCACTATGTCTAAAAATCAATGAAAAAAATAATCTTGGATGAGGATTAAAAAAATACAAAAAAAAATTTAAGAAACTCTTGGCTTTAAGAATGAATTAAAACAACAAAGCCCCTGTCACAATTCTTACCTGGTGGCCCAGAAATTGTTGGAGAATTCTCCAGGTTTAAAATGTCTTCAATTAAGGGCTCCTTATTATTCTTGTCTTTTTTCTTCTTCTTTTTAAAATAGTCACTAGAAGGCTTTAACAAGGAAAGTTCTTCTGGTCTTCTAATATCTAATAAATAAGTATAAAAAACAAAGAAGAAAAACTGAAAAGTTAAAATATAAAATAAAATAAAAATTCCTGTTGGGCATTTGAAACCATTTCTCAGGGAATTCTGGAGAAGTAATAGAACTAGATTGCACTACTTTTTAAAGAAACAGAGGGGAATAAGAGCCCCCCCCCACTCACTAATAAGGGTGTAGGGAGGTCAAATAGTGGAGGGAGATTTAGTCTAGTAAAATTTCTATTTTGTTTTTTGATTTATTGTGAAAATATTTCAAATGTATCTAAAGCAAAGGGAATAGTATAGTGGCCCATCCATGGACTCATCACCCAGCCTCAACCAAATTTTGCTATTCTTATGCCACCTACTTACTAACAATTTCCCCTCTTTCCTCCCTTTCTTTCTCCCTTCTGCCCCCACCCCTTATCTTTTTTATTCAGTTTTTTAAACAACAGCCGAGGGCCCCACCTTTTTTCTTCATGGACCACAGGTCCAGAGAGCCCTTTTCTTACATGATGCCCAGCTGCCACTTTCATGCCTGTGGCAGACATCGTTGGCGCCTGCCCGCCTCTTCTTGGCCTCACCCTTTCAGTGCACTCCGACTTGACTACCAATGGCAGCTAGGACATGTGTCTGTCTGCCCATGGGCTTGCTCTGAACACCGGAGTCTACTCTGCCCAGATACAGCGCAACCGGCCACACGAGTTCAGAGAATGAATGCTCTCCAAGAGCGGCCCCGGTGACTGATGAGTGGCGTATTAACACCCAGCTCCCTCGGCCCTTGGGTGGGATGGCTCTGAGGCATGTCTCTGCTGGGACAATCTCTTATTGGTGGCCTTCTCTGCCCAGTCTCACATCCCCATTCGTTATCAGTGTTTCCCGGCATTACCCCCCGCCCCCTTCCCCCTCAATAAATAAATATTTGCACTGGAATCCTTATCTCAGGGTCTGCTTCTGGAGAAATGAAGATTATCCCCATTTTCCTCTATTAATGAAATACATTTACCATTTGCC